CAATCCGAAGTTTTTTTCGCCAATATCCACAGGTAACATGACATCTAATATCTCTGGACACAAAATTTTAAATAAAATTTGTAGTATATTGACATCAGATCAGTCTGTTGACATTAACGAAACGGTATTCAGTTTTCAAGTTGTTGTGATACCTAAAGGTGGTAAACCTAAACCATCTTGGGAATACTTGGATCTTTTTACCAAAAACAAAAKATGCGTAACAGAAATTAATAATCAAGATGAACTATGTTGTCCCCGTGCTATTTTAGTTGGATTATCGTACAAGACAGCCGATATATTAGGACATAAATTAAYAKATAGCCAAATAAAAGACCTACGGTGTGGTAGAAGTAATATACAAACACGTTTGACAAAACAATTATGTCWAAAATTAAAAAAATATGATAACCGACCGTTTACTTACCGCGATATAGAAAATGTCGAAAAATTGTTAAACATTCAAGTGAAAGTCGTGAATGTGGAAAATTTTTGTGAAATCGACTACTCGGGAAATGAAAATAGAATTAAGATTTATCTATTGAAAAAAAAATGATCATTTTCATACTATTTATTCCATGTCGTCGTTTAAGGAACGTGTGTACTACTGTGAATTATGTGATACGGGGTATAATAATAAAATTAAACACGTCTGCAAAAAAGGACCAGGGTTAAAGTGTAAACTTTGTAACGAAAAATTTCATATCCAAGACTTCAGAAAACAAAAATTTTTTTGTCAAGAGTGCAACCGTTACTGTGTTGATATCGAATGTTTTAAAAAACATAGAAGGGTCGTTTGCGATAAAGAGTATAAATGTGGTGGATGTAATTTAATCGTGCAGAGGAATGACCACACGCACAATAGTGTTTGCGGATATGRAAAATGCTATAATTGTAAACAAGAAAATATCGAATTGTGTCAACATGAATGTTTTATGCAACGAAAAAAAGGAAAAGGAGGATATTGTGTGGAAGCCTGCGTTTGTAACAACTCGTCATCAGAAAAACRAAAAGASTGTACGTTCACAACGAATTATATATTTTTCGATTACGAAGCACAACAAAACACAGGAACACACATACCAAATATGGTTATTGCTCACAATTTTGAAGGCACAAAATATGTGTTTTCTACAGATGATGGAGCCACGGCTAATGATAAATTTTGTAAATGGGCACTGAGTAAAGAAATGAACGGAACAACATACATAGCGCACAATTCAAAAGCATATGATACATATTTTATAATACAATATATTTTAAAACATATGCCAACAGTAAAGTACGAAATAATTCGTAACGGGACAAAAATTATGATGCTTGAAATAAAAGAAGGGGGTTTGAACATAAAATTTATTGATAGTCATAACTTTATACAGTCTAAACTATCTGACTTCCCAAAAACATTTGGACTTACAGAAGCGAAAAAAGGATACTTTCCACATTTTTTCAATACTACAGAAAATCAAAATTATACAGGGCCTTTACCAAACAAATCGTATTACGGTTATAATTCAATGACAACGAAACAAAGAACAGCTTTTATACATTGGCATGACGAAATGACCAGTCAAAATTATACATTTAATTTTAAAAAAGAGTTGGAAGAATATTGTAATTCGGACGTTGACATTCTACGAAGAGGATGTTTAGAACTCAGAAAACAATTTTTGGACGTGTGTAACATTGACCCCTTTAAATACATAACCATTRYGAGTGTATKCATGGCAATTTATCGACAGAGTGACTTGTCGAATGCCACTATAGCAGTCGTTCAAAATGTGAAGAAAGAAAAATTTTCAGATGAATCAATGAAGTGGTTGAAAAGCATAATATTAAATGGAAATAAAAATATTAAGCATGCTTTAAACGGTGGAGAAGCTGTCATATGTGGTGCTAAAGTCGACGGTTATGATATATCGGAAAAAAAAGTGTATCAGTATCATGGATGTTTCTGGCATGGCTGTCCTGATTGCTTCAACCCTAATGATATAAACCCCGTAAATAAAAACACCATGACCGATTTATACAACAACACAATTAGACGAACAACTCAACTGAAAGAAAAAGGGTATCAAGTTGAAGAAATGTGGAGCTGTAAATGGAGAAAGCATGTCGATTACAAACAAATGATGCAATATCCAGATGATGTGATTGAGCCACTAGATCCCAAAGATGCATTTTTCGGAGGAAGAACTAACGCTACAAAATTAGTGGTTAAAAATATAGTCCTTGGTTGGGCGGGGAGTGGTGGGACGGCGGCCTGATCTTCGGCTGGGTGGCAAGTAGCGGAGGTGGCGGTGGCGGTAGTCTCTGGATCGGCACCTATGACTGGGCGGTGAGTAGGAGAGGTGGCGGTGGCGGTGGCCATGTGGAGGTGGCGGTGGTCATGTGGAGGTGGCGGTGGCGGTGGTGGCCCGCCAGGGACCCAGATACTACTCAATCGCACACGTAGATTTGTCTTACACGTCAAGTACGTGAGGCAGTGTCTTAATCACTAATTAATAAATATTACAAGGAAAATTTGATTTCTAAAACTATTGAAGTATTTGGATGAATACTTAGAAAGARACCTTGTATGACACAATAAGATCCGGCTGGTATCTAATATATAAGGGTACTCTACGAGCAATCATTCACACTATTTTTGTATGACGACTAGTTGACGGTACTCCAGTGGCGTAGCCAGCGGGTAGGCCTGGTAGGACCGGGCCTACCCACTTTTTT